TTGGTAAGGTGTTGGTAAGGTGTTGGTAAGGTGTTGGTAAGGTGTTGGTAAGGTGTTGGTAAGGTGTTGGTACTAAGGTGTTGGTAAGGTGTTGGTAAGGTGTTGGTAAGGTGTTGGTAAGGTGTTGGTAAGGTGTTGGTAAGGTGTTGGTACTAAGGTGTTGCTAAGTGTTGCTAAGGTGTTGGTAAGGTGTTGGTAAGGTGTTGGTAAGGTGTTGGTAAGGTGTTGGTAAGGTGTTGGTAAGGTGTTGGTAAGGTATTAATAGTAATAATAGTAATGATAAAGCTAACTCTGATGTTTTTCTTTGTATTGACTTACCATTGCTGGGACGGGAGAAATTGTTGGTAGAGAAATATTTTTCAGTGACGGTGACTGAGGTGTAGAGGAGGGGTTTTTAAGTTTTCTCTTTGATGGTGGTACTATTCGTCCAGGAAGAGTTAATGGTATTATTTCACCTTCTAATGCTCTGTAAACCAGGTGCATTGCCTGGAAACAAATAAAATGTTTCAATAAGCAACAGTCTGCCTAGTATACACTTATAAAACACAACAATAAATAATGATTGTAAATATTTCAGTTAAAATGCAAAAAATTTATCAAACATGATGTTTCACTTTAAATTAGTGCATATTATAAAATGCAATGCGTAGCTGAAAACTTAAAATTTCATGGCACCTGATCACACCCCAAGATGCTACATTCACTATTTACAACCCGCAACACTCAACTGACATATTGATTTTTACAGAGGGGGAGTGGGGGGGGNGGGGGGGGGACTGGAGAACCTGGAAAAAACCTTATGGCTCAGTTGAGAATTAAACCTGCAACCTCAAGCACAAACTACGCAGCATAAAGAGGCAGTCTCACTGTAGCAGTGCATGCCATGCACCCATGCGGCCCATATATACCTACCACAGCAAACTCATCAGCATCTAACATGCCATCTCTATCAATATCAGAAAGCTCCCAGACACGACCCAAAACATCCAGTGGAAGCTTGGAATTCATTAGAACCTATGAACATTTAACAATAGCATTATTTAGGAAATTGGTCAAATATTGAGGGTGCTTTCCATTAAGTCATTCCAACTGGCCAGTAAATCTCAAATGGTACCCGTCAGTTCTTAGAACTGGTTCTGGCTGCCTTGGCCCAGTTCTTAAACTGTCGCAATACCATTCAAAGAACTGACTGTAACACAATCCAACAGGATTTATACCACGTGATGCTAGCACTCAAAAGGTGAATTCCCTAGAGTACCATTTCTTTGTTTAATGGTTGCGCATGAGAAGACACATGAACAGGACTCGAACAAAGAATCCTATTCTCAAGAGTACAACAAGTGGTCTGAAATGGAAAAAACATTATACTTAAGCTAAAAAGTTCTGTTTTAGTAACTTACTGGTCTGACTTTATCCCCAGGTAAAAACCCATTAACTGGCTTTAAATTCTAATAAGAAAAAAAAAACAAGACCAATATGAGTGTGAGTCGAAAAATAATCACTAAAAACTACCATAAAATATTTAGAAGCATTCCTACCTCAAATATAGTATCATATTTTGTTTTCTCTGCTGGTTTTACAGACCAGGCAGTGGAATCCAAAGGAGGTGGGACAGTAGAGTGTGGAATATCTCCCTAGGAAGTATAGTTAAAATTCATTTTGATAAAAATTTGAGAAACCAACTGGTTACAGAGAAGGGATGCATTTATTGGAGGATTGAATCTGACGCAAGTATTTTTATGTATTTTCTTGTGAATACAGAACCTTAAATTGTATTTGCCCTACTCTTAGTATCTTATCTACAACCCTATTTTCCAAGTCTGTGTTGACCTTCTGTTCAGAATTTCCTGGATTTTTCTTTAAAAAAATCTAGTCTGTGGGAAATAATTGGAAAGGTTTGAAAACCTTGGATAACGAATGAAAATATTGAGTAATAAGAAATGGAGAAGAAAGACAGTTGAGATYTTTTATTTCACTTAGTATATATGAAGAAGGAAGTTAAAAGCTAAAGAAAATAAACACTCAGCAGTTGGTCTAGTGCATTAACTGGGTACAGCTTATTATTATACATTTTATCAAGGTGTTTGTCTAGAGATCAACCCTGCTATTTCCCAACCCCAACTTTCCCGAATATTTGTAACGACAGGAATCTTTTGTTCTCGCTCTATTTTAGAGGGAATTTAAACGAATAATTTTCAATAAAATATTATTGTTCTTACTTAATATACAATTTATAATTGTATATAATAGTAATTTTAAAACAACCTCCATATCGTACTAAGTCATATGGTGCACGTAGCTTTGCCGTAGCAGCGTCCAGACTATGGAACCTTTTACCACAAGATATAAAAACATCGCAGTCTTTGGAAATATTCAAGAGAAAACTAAAAACATTTTTGTTCAATTTGTAACTTTAATCTATTTTTTTCACTTGACATTTCGTCGTGGTATTTGTAAAGTGCATTGAGAGTCTATAATACGCTATATAAGAACATATTTATTATTATTATTATTATTGATTTATTATATTTAAGTGAGCTAATAGAAATTTCAAAGCTGGATAATGTCTCAGCTTCTTATGCAAATTCTAGACATTTGAAGTTATTATAATAATAATACATTATTGTAAAGTTAATAAAATATTGATCATTCTTTATTGATTAATACTTAGTCTAATGCCCAATAGTCTTCCCAGTAAAACATAATGAAGTAAAGACAATTATTTTTCATTATTCTTCATCAAAACTGCTCTCAGCGTAAAGCATTTGGACGATGATAATTAGCATTTTCTCTAGACAAAATCAATCAAACTCAAAAATTTCATGAATTTCGTATGAATTTTATAAGATAAATTGAAATATTGTTATAGTAAAAGAGAAAAGTTATTGTTCATCTTTATTGATCTCAAAACCTTGTGTTTTGATGATAGTTTGGTCTAGTGGTCACTGGAAATATTACTCTAAACTAATAAATATTGTTGCAAGAACTAAAGCTGTTATTGACAAAATTCATTTAATGACTGAGTCTTCAAAAGATATCCATAAGTCATCAAAACATTTCAAAAATATACATATGTTTTTAAAAATTTCACGTTCTACTGCTTCACTCACATTAATTTTAAGTTATTATAACTGCTAACAGAATTGCTTTCTTATTTAAAGCATTGGAACATGCAATATCATTTGGATTATTTTTTGTCTTTATTTTTGAAAGAAAAAATATTGTAGTGTCTCTAAAAGATATCAGGAATCAAGCTTTTTATTAGCTGTTAATCTGGGTGTTTTTTAAATTGGTTACTGCATCAACCCCACATCTGCCCTTTATTTCCAAAATTCCTAAATTAGACTTTCTGGAAAATGATAAGTTGCAGATAAAGATATACAAATTATTACTAATGGGAAACTTACCAGATTGGGCGCAGGCACCAACAATGAAAGATTCGCAATGGAGACTTCTTTACCATTTTGGGCTAAGGAAATGAGACGTAATGCCAGAAAGAATCTCTGGATTAAAAATAAAAAAGTAGTTAAGAATCAATTATTTTGCTTTAACACATGTAAATGGTCTAAAACGATATTGAAATGTAACTGTTTAAGATGGAAAAATGTTTCATTAAAAATGTTTTTCATATCTTACATGTTTATCCAGAAATCCAGTGCCATTTGGATCACTCAGTTCCCATATCTGCAAGTTTGTTTAAGAAATTCACAAACTTTATTAATATGCATAATTTTTACATGCATGTGTTTTGAAAATATTGACATTCTCCATAGATGAGGAACCAAAAGTTGGTATGTTTCTTGTTTGGCTTGACTCAGCATAATATGAGTAGAGTTCGTTCATTTCATTTTGACCAGTAACATTTAGCCAGAAATGGGGTATAACTAAGCTTGATCATGATCGGCCACTGATCGGCCGTTTTTTTAAGCCCTGCTAACAAGGTTTTGATTTAACTGCACACTAAGATATTTATACCTTGTGCTACAAGTCGGAACAATTTTGACAAGACTAAACAAGTACCTTGTGTAGAACTCCTTCTTTTAGATTTGATCTTTTCAGGAATAATGCAGCATCACTTGCAGCAATTTTGCAGTTTAATTTTACATCAGCCTATAAGTTAAGTCACAACTGAATTAGTTTTTTTTTAAAAAGGCATTCTGTATTAAAAAATGGGACTAAAGATATGAATTTTCATCTCATTATCATATACATAAAAAGATATAAACAAATGAAGGTTAAGAATTGTGCAAGAAGATTAAAAATATAAGGAAAATGTATTATTTTTTTCTATGGAGATAACAAATTTGATAATAAGTTTAAAAAAATCTGTCATGGAGAAAGTAGAAATATGAAATGATTAAAATCACTTTTAACCATTCTTTCTTTTCATTCCTTTTTACTTTTAACATTTGAATGTCAGCCTTTTACTATTGATTTGTAAGTGCTTCCTGCTTGAATGGCTTGCAGTGCTTTTAGTAATCAAATTAGGTTTTAGATATGTCCTTTCTATTTACTTAGATGGGGGAAAATTGACACCATGATGTAAAGTAGTGGCTTACTTGTCTAAAGTATGCTTCATACACTGCAGTATGTCCAGCGGAGAGCTTAATTGGCAACAAAAGATGACAACAAAATTAGAAATACAAAATATACCTCGTACTTTTTGAACAGCCTTTATATAACAAAACCAGTACAATTAATTTACAATACACGATACAATGACAGTGCGAAACAATCAACTATCAAACTGCTGTCAAATTATCAAAACAAAAACACCATAGTAAAGAGTAGAGTGATTAGGGATGTTTCAGTTTGAGACTTAATGAGATAACGTTCTTTTGATTTGCTGAATGCTAGTAATAATAGTTAGTAATTCAACCTGCTTAATGTCGTTTTGCAAGTCGACATATTATACAAGCTTCCCTATTAAACCCGCGCTTTACTACAAATGATTCTAAATTCAAATATTTTTGATTGGAAGATTTATTCTATGGACGTGATCTTCGTATTCATAAGGTTTCCGGCCGTCATATCGATAAAGGCCTATTTTAATCTGCATCAAAAGATTTCCGCAGCAAAATACATTTTGTTTCTTATTCCTCGAGGCTTGTGATTGTACGCCACTTTTGTGAAAACGTAAAAAAATTCAGGTCTCCTATAAATTCGCATAAAAAATCATCCACATGAAGCTGCATGAGTCAATAAACGAAGCAATCAAGTCCATTGTGTCGATAATTTTGAATCAAATGCCTCGCAGAGCGAAAAAACTATCGATATTGCAAAACAACTCAAAACACTGTACAACGCAGCTTCCGCAAAAACACCAACTTCTGACCTCAAATGGGCAGCGATCCAGGTCAAAAACAGCACAGATAGAAACGATAACGCCTAATACAATAGCTAGGCTTGCTATAAGATGACATATTTGGTGTTTTGGGGTATTTTTTAAGGCGATCTAATGGCGTTACCTGGTTCATAGATGGAATACCCAGCCCCGCGTCCATGTTTACTTCGTATGATCGCTTGCTCAAATATTTGTCAGCAGTGTTTGCTTTACTAGACATGCGTAGGCTTTAGTCCACAGGTAGACCAACTTCGCGCTCAATTCGCAAGGAATAAATAACTTATAGAAAATTTATTACGAAATAAATCACAACTTAAATCATAAAGTAAGAAAAATAAAACACAAACACACCGTTCAATACCTTTAAAATGTTTTTCTTTGAGAATTTGTTTTAAAGAATATTTTGAACCTGTCATTGTAGTTTGGGCTTCCTGTGTGAATGTGCAAATTTTCAAGATGGCGACCGGATCGAAGATCGAACTTTTCAGGGTAAAAAAAACTTCCAGTTTGTTGCAAAATTGGATAATTATTGGATGTTATGTATTAACTTAAAGATAAACAATATGTTAACTATTTTTTCTTTTTTTTCTTTATTTAACGAAAGTATATCTAGGATCTGATTTACGAAGCCTTATGTAACATATTGCTTCAACTAAAAGAAATGGAAATTATCCATCGTTTTCAGAATATTTTGTTCATATTTTCTGTCATTTGCAGATAGCAGTTTATGTGTTTTTCCCAGTTGCTCTCTTCTATTACTTCAATCTGCCGGAAATTTATGATGATTTTATAACAAACAAGAAGGTAACGTATAAATATTTAGAAATATGACTACACTAGTACGAGTGTACTCCGTTAAAGGAGTCAATCAATCAATCAATCTTTATTGTGCTCTATAGTTTACAGATATAAGTAATRATAGTTGAAATTGCAGGTGATAAGAGCACAGCCAACGCGGTATTTCGCGTGTTACACGCGCGTTACCATGACATACATTTGGGCTGTACTGTAGCTAGTAAAAATATAGTGTGAAAACTAAAGCTTAAATGCTCACGAAGACCATAGATGGTAGAGGGATAAAAAGTCGGATGCCCAGATTCAGAGGCCAGGGAGACGAGGGGGGGGGGGGGGTTTGGGCATTCCCCAAATCCCCAGATTAGCTGCTCCAACTGAAAACTATGCTCTACACGATTCTTTAGATGGATGGCTGAAAGGAGGAATGGAGGTTAAGATGCATTTATAACCCACTTGTAATGGTAGAATAGCAATAATCAATAATAATTAATCCTCTTTTTATTTTTAGCAACAAGTGTATCCTCCTGATGAACAAATTTCAGTGAGTAGCCACACACACTATGGGATATTTATTTTTATTATATAGCTAGGATAGTACTGTACGTGCATGCTGATTAGTCAAAAATGTGCTTTATTAGTGAGTGGAGCACAGTGCTGACACCATCCATGTGCACGAAGTGCTGCTAGATCCTGCGACCATCTTTCTTTTTGCGTAAATAAATTCAATACCAAAAAAAGTTAGTAACTATATAATAAAACAAATAAAACAGCTTTTTCCATGCTCTACTCAGTTATAAAGCACTTAGGAAGTGCCATAAACACTCAAGAAGTGTGAAATGCATTTGCCTATGGCTTGTGCTTCTCCTTACATTCTTTCATGCTTACATCACTTCCTGTGTGCTTTACTACTGAACGAAGCACAGAAAAAGCTGTTTGTTAAATAAGACACAGGGCTTAAAATGATGGCTGATCAGTCAGAGGTCAACGCAGGCCAAATTAGTTTTAGCTTATTCATGCCTCATTTCTGGCTCAATGTTACTGGTCAACATATCAATACAAGGTAAAAATTTGACTGGACGAGTAACAGTTCTGACTGGACATTGTCCAATGTCCAAATTTCATTTTGCAGCTCACCACTACAGTACTGAGTTCGACGCAGAAATATTGAATACCGCAGTAACCTTGGTTTGTAATATTTCTAGAAACCACCCACGACATTAGATGATGTTAGAGCTGCTAGACAAATAATGCTTCAAAGAAAGAAAAAGGAACAAATGGAAGAAAACTAAATGCAAGCACAGGTAATGTTGTGGAATTTTTTTAACAATGGCTGAAGATAATATTGAACAAAAGGAAAAACAGGTCTGGTATTCATGGAAGAATCTATGTTGTTCACTTAAATGAGATAAAAATGGCAGGATTCTGATGATACCTACTGAAACACTATGAGGAAAAAAGGGGAAAATGGAAAATACATCTTAATGTGGACAGTAAATGTTATTGGGTTTCATCTCAGTATTTAAAAATGTTCCATAATGGCATAATACAGTATTGGTGTGCTGGCACAGAAAGAACAGGACAATACTTCTGCTTATATGATGTTGATAATGTTGCTAATCACTCCCCAAAAGTTTTACTGTACGTGTGAATATGGCTGCAACTCTAAAAATGAAATGCAATACGTCTGTGTATTGGCGGCAAAATGGAACATTGCCCCCCACATGACTGAGACCTGCACCTTTGAAGTCTAAACCTGCCAGATGAAGGTACTTTTCAAACAAGGGGCTGCATTAATGGTTCTGACTCAGACAACCAATAATCGTTACAGCTGTTTTTCCAGCAAAATTAAATCGCTTTAATTAACCAGCTTAATTTTGTCCAGTGATTTGATAATTGCTACCATCAGGGAATTGCTCAGTGGAGAAAGAGTAGAGATTGGCCACTTCTTTGAGATATAAATTCGCTTGACTGACCACGAAACAATGGTTTTAAGTCAAGGTTGGACTCAATAAATAAAAGAATCAAGTTCAGTCTCAACTTCTAACCATTGTTTTGTGTTCATCCAAGCAAATATGGGAAAGGTCTATTGTCAAAGCCCCAAAGAAGTTTATTACATTAATTTATTTTGCCAAGTTTCAAGAAAATACCTGACTTAAAAAGGGGGAGCCGTGGCCCCATTGGCCCCACTCCTAAATCCGCCCCTGAGGCTGTCTGGTTTTACATAAAGGTTCAAACGCTAGAGTGAGGTCTTGAATTCTAATGCAAAACCGAGCCTGTGCATTTGAACTGGTTTAAAATATCAACTAAGCCCCAAATTCCATTGTTTCTGTTTCTGTATGTAAGACACGATATACTAAATTATATTGAATACAGAGAGGTAGATTACTGTTGCTTTGTTCTTTTGGAAATAGAGTGCTTACGATATATCCGTTTAATTAAAAACCTATCCCGGGTTTATAATTCAGCCCCGTTCTCCCCTGTTGATATCAATTCCGCCCCCGGCTTTAAGAATCTGAGTTTTCCGAAGAATTTAAGAACCTACATCAAACAATGGATTTAGGGTGTGGTTGATTTTTAAATCCTCTTTGATATTCAACTTCTAAATTCCAATTTGATCATGGAATGAAGGGCTACAGGTTTGTTAGCCACTGGCTATTAAGTGCTACCCTTGTAAAAATGAGAATGATTAAACACATCATATTGCTGTTATCAGATAATTAATGCAATTCATGCTACGTATCATTAATGATTTATTATTTCTCAAGGTCTTTTACATCCTTCTCTATTGTCTCTGTTGTCTCTTCTTCATCATGACTGATTGGTAGCATCGTGTAATCAAGGTTTGGCTTTGGCTCATCAAGTAACCGCATAGCTTTGACTGCCTGTAACGAGTATAGAATAAGAAATAATGAAAACGTATGTCAGGGGTATGAACTTTTAATCAGTTAACTTGAAGCTCTCAGATTTAATTTCCTTCTATTTGAGATGGGTTTCCTGTGGCATTGGTGCAAGGTACCCTAAACGCCATACGATAGACTCATTCACGACCTCAAACAAGACTGCGACTTGTGATAACACCCACGCGTCTTTACATAATAATGCCGAATAATTACCGTTTACATTACGACCGAACCAGAGGTATAAATACCATCGAATGTGTCTAATTTTCTCACTGGACTCTGAAGATGACTTCTGTTCAGGTTGTCAAAACGTCAGTCACCACCAACAACAGTCTTTCTCAAGACTAATCTTACCCGGACGATCACATTTCACACACAAACTTCAACACCTGGGTTCAAACCATTTACTCTTGTACCCTAAACAGTCACTCCCTTTTCAAAAATCCTCAATCTACCCCTGCAAGTAGAAGTGCAAAAAAAAATCTGCATGGCTACACTCCCCCTAGGACCCCCTCCCCCCACCCCCCACCCCCCAGGCTGATTTTTGGTCCACCAGACTCCACTCACTTTCCTCGACTTGCAGGAATGTCTTTAACTGCACTTCAATTCTTAGCAAATGAATGATTATAGAATGAAAATTCTGCTTTGATTTCCCTATTTTTCATTACTATGCATCTTTCTTATCATCTATCTTCACGAAATTAGACGGGCGAACTCCATTCAGTCTAAAACGTTTCTGGTCTTCAAGACACTTCCCTCCATCTTTTAGGAGAAGAAGCCGAGGAGTCAACGAGGAGTTACACGGCTAATATGCATTCTAACAGTTGCGCGCAATTTTTCGAAAAGTCCTACTTTAGCTTGTTGGAAAGAGAGAAGCGCCAAACTTGGCAAATATATTCCAAGATAGGCCGCACAAGGGTACAATAAATCGAACTGTGATCAGCCGATGCAACACCAGAGCGTTTGAGTAACCGTACGACATAGAGTCTCTTGCTTGCTTTGCCACAGATGTAGTCAACATGAAAATTCCATGTAAGGATAGAAGAAATATGTACCCCAACAAATCGAGCTGCTTTGACGTCACATGCAAGAGGTTTATTGCGCACGCTGATGGTAATTTTCGTGGTGATCATTGTAATGAGCTAGAGATGGAAAGAATGAACTTAAACCGTTACATACCACAAGCCAGGCAGTGAACGTCCCAATCAAAGCACCAGCCACCACGTCACTCCAATGATGATAATTGTCTTTAATCCGTGACAGACCGACTGCGATGGCGAGAAGAAACATCACTGCTTGTAAAAGCAGTCTGAATATTTTGAGCGTACGGAGGTAGACAATTGCTTGGAGACAGATCTAAAATAAGTAAAATTTTGTCACTCTATAATTATATAACTTGACTATAGTTAGGTTTCGGTGGCAAGCAGGTTGATGTGGGTGTTTCCATGACATTCCTTAGGAATGTGTTATTCAAAACTTTCTGTTTTTGGAAATTCCACGTCTTGGAATTTGACGTCTACCAAAACCCTACTGATTTTGTTGCGACGACAAATTGTGAGATTTTGCGCGTTTCTTCGTTGCAATTAGTCCCCTCAGCTGAGGTTTTTCGTATCGGTCCACCGATACGAGAAACAGCTTCTGAGGAGACTACGTTGCAATGGAAGGGCTGTTTTTGTAAAGCATGTGTATTACAGCAAACTTGGAGTCGCTGCAGTTTACAATTAGCCCAATGCAGCCATATTTTTCACGCATTTTATGGACAACTAGAAGAATTTTTTTACATACAGCAATGAAGACCAAGCTGTAAGCTGTGGAAGCGGTGTGAATGGAAGGGAATGAAAGCCTGGAAGAAATGGAAAAAGAACATTAAATAGAATTAGGAGATCCCTGTATTTGGTCAGGGAGAAAAACAGCAAAAGATGACTGAAATCTTTTGAATTGTCATTCAACTGCTAATAGAGGTTGCTTGTTTAATATCGGTATAAGATTAGTATCAAACCATCGATTGCACCCAGACAACTGGTTTCTCCATAGACTTTGGCCGTTTTATAGAAGTCGGTTCTACTGTGTCGCTTTCTCTCGCCGAAAGTCGACAGAAACTTCTTTCTATCTTGCCGTATGAGATTTTTAGTGTCCTGTCTGTTCTCTTTGTAGCTTTTAGTTGAGAAAGCCGTCGTATTCCCAAAAAGATTATGTGCGTATACCTTGCGTACTTGATCTTCAGAGGGTCACCCGTACAGACATCAGCTGTAATATATCCAGTACTGCAATTGAACAGGGTTGCGTTGGGTTTGCACACGGCAAGAAAATGAGGTCTCAATCGACCAGTGAGGAGTTGTACTGCATCACAGAATAACAGCATTGCTAAAAACCCGGTGATAAAGAGAGCCATACGATGCAACATCCTGGGATAGAAATCAAGTGGAAACCAAGAGAATTAGTATCGACGAGAATCTGACATTATTTAAACGGTCATCAGAATGAATGGATAAACAAGATTTTCTTTTCTTCATTCTTTCTTTTCTTTGTTCTTTTCATCGTTCGTTCCCTTCCCTTCCC